ATGGACATCCTTCACGAATGTGTTGTTGCACAGTTTATGGAGCTCAATTACTCAAGAGGGATATCAAGTGCTCTTGTACAACTTCGGGGTCCTCTCAGAGATACCCTCAGGGCACAGCTGTGCGGATGTGAGGAGATGGTGCTCACGAGTGACGAGTATGGTTTCGAGTTCCACGTGGTGCGGCAGTACAAGCATATGGGGGCAAGTATTTCCTTTGATGGTTCGCAGAGACCAGAGACTACGCGGAGGATACAAAAGCTTGATCGCACACTAGGACCCATTCGTCGGACCCTTACCCCCAAGAAAGCTATATCTTCATCCGCAAAAATACGGTACGTCGAGGCGCTGGCGTGCTCCAAACTTTTCCAACAGGTTGCGCTTTGGCATGGACTGGGAGAGTACAATGAGCGACGGATACATGCTGCATGCATGCGATCTCTGCGGGCAGCGGTTGGCTTGACACACACAACTCAGAATGGCATGCATTACGGTGACATTCAGGTACTATAGCTTGCTAGGAGGGTTGGGGTAGAATGCATACGGCGGGTCAGGAGGCTGAAATACTTCGAGCGGGCAATTAACCACGGGCCACGGACCCTACAAGCGTTGCTGGACATGGGTGGTTTGCAGGATACGTGGCTGGGGAGTATCATGGAGGATCTACAATTGCTCACCCTGGCTCATGGTGGAGGTCAGCTGTCTGGCTCCATCACGGAGTGGGTTAGTTACATTCGCCGTGACGCTCGGAAGTACCTCAGCTTATGCAACAAAGGGTGGGAATGACAGGTGGGCTGGTATCTGGACGAAATTGGGATCAAGGTTTGGCAGCGGAACCTCAGTGGCTTTCTTCCGCCTCCACCTGTCCCCACCGAGTAGGTAACACGGTATGTTTGTTATGATTGTGGCATGGCCCTCTCATCTATTCGGGCGTGGAAGACACACCGTACCAAGATGCATGGTTTCTGAGTGATGCCCGGTCGTTTGCCAAACATGGCCGTTGCCAAGGACGTGATACCAACTTTCATACCAGGGTTCTATTAATATAGCACTTGAAATACCGTGGGGCTAAATGCTAGGATATGCTCCGGAGATCCGTGGACCCAATTCGTGAAAGTGAAGACGCGGAACTCGACGAAAATGATCGCAGAAATGTTGCCAAACTTCGTGCTGACGGATACTCGGAGGCGAAGGCCATGAAACCACCAATAAGAGAGCCGAAGTGGTGTCGGTTTCGACGACCAGTACAGCACGTCGAACCACCACCTCCCGAAGTTCAAGTTCGAATCGCAGCCCAGTCTACGATGTACCGAGATGCCGAGGTAATTTTGTTCGACAGAGAAAGGAGTACCGAGGTTTGGATTTTCTTTGATGGCGAGGATAACGAGGCGGGATACGTGGACGGACGACGTGTTATGTTGACTGTAGCACTGGAGGCGCTGTATCTTGATATCAGGTGTTTCGATTTTGTTGGACTCATTGGACGTGGCGCTGAATCGAGTACTGTCAAATACTTGATGATGGGAAAAGTATATGCTGTGATTGGGTGTCTGAAGAAAATTAGCATGGACAAACACTGTTGGGCGTCATACGAAGTCCAGGGTGCCAAGAGGAAAGTGGCGATCTTTATTGAGACAGCTGTGAGAGGTTTTGTGTTTAGGCCTCATACTGCCAGAATCCAGTGCGTTCTGCTTCGCGTGACCACCAGTCCGGAGTGCTGGCCCCATATTGGGGCGGTTCGGAAGTGGAGATGGTATTGGGCCCACGCTGTTCACCTGTGGCGACGGCGGGGCCGACGAGAATGACATCGAACGCGCATGGAGCGGAGGCTCAGCGTCTCGGGTCGGGCGAAAGGGGGGGATAGCAAAGGGGGGGTTTGAGAATCAGCTCTCGTAGCTGATTCTCCCAGCGCCTCCCAGCGCCAGAAGGCGCCCATGTATCGAGGAATGGGCCCCTCGGTGAGGCCGAAACCAGCTGCATGCAGCAAATTTCGTAACCCCCCCTTTCCCAATCCCCCCCTTTCGCCCGGCCCGATCGTCGTGAACAAAGAGAGGCCCGCAACGCACCTCGCGCTGTGGGACCAGCCGGCCGCTCGAGAGCGGTGCGGCGTGCCGGCCCCCCACGGCGAGCGGAGGGCCCCCTCCCCCCGTGGGCCCGTTTCTCCGTGGGGGGCTGTTGGCGGCTGCTTTTGTCGTCTGTCGCCGTCGCCCCTCCCCCCCCCCCCTTGCTACAATGATAGGCGGCGGGCGAGGGGGGGAAATGAGAAGGAGAAGGCCTTCTCAGAAGGCGGCGGGACTTCTCAAAGCCCTCGCGCCTTCTGAGAAGTTTTTTCTGTCTTCGGGGAAGGCTCAGGAAACTTCTCAGAAGGCCGCGGAACTTCCGAGACTTCTGAGAAGGCCCGCCCCTTCTCAATTCCCCCCCTCGCTCGCCGCCGAGATGAGGAGAAGGTGAGAAGGATGGACGATTGAATGGTGGCAGGCGACGGCGACGGTGGATCGGGCGCGGCCGTGGCCGCGAGCGCCCGCGGATGCACACTACGGACAGCGGTCCGCCAGCGGGAGCGCAGCAGCAGCAGCAGGAGGAGGAGGGGGAGTAGGAGAAGGAGGAGGAGGACTTGACATGATGACATGATAATGTCGTAAGGGGCGCCTGAACCCCATGTGATATGGCCCGCGGCCATCTCCACACCAGGGTTGACAGGGGGACCTGCGCCACGGCAGGCCAGCCTAGGGTGATAGGAAGAAAGGAAAACTGGACCTCCCCAGAGCCCAACAGCTTCTCGCTGGATCGAGGGAAGGCGCGTGTCAGACCTAAGTGTCCAATGAACTTTGCTGTGTTGCATCGCGCGGCACGCGCACTCCACGCGCGCAACCCCTTCATGCAAAACTGCTTCAACAAGTTCAACGGCGGTTTGGGCGCAACTTGCTTTAATAATCTGAACGCCTGCTGCGCCGCACCGTCCCCGTGACATTTGCAGCGCCTTGCGCGGCGTGGGGGGATAGCGGATGGGACGGTACGACTGAAATCTGGGTAGTTGTAAGTTTCCGTGCTGACGATGTGTGGTCGTTAGAGTGAGCAAAACATGCGTCCCTACTCTAGGGCGCGCGGCATGGATACACGCATACGCCGGTACACCAAAAAGTAAGCCCAAATCGGCCAAAACAAATTGTGGCTCTGGTATGTGGTGTTGCGTCTGTCGCAGCTGCGTGGCCGATCGCTTGGGGGTGAGGTACCGAAATCTAGAATCCAAGCAGCAGGACCGTGAGACGCGATGGCTTGCACCACGTACGGTGTTGTTGATGTGGACCTTGAGTTTGCCCTGGAGTACTGGGACCTACGGAGTGGATCAAATAATGAAATATGTCGTGTCCGTGGTGACAGCGATTTCGTCTGCCTGACCAGAATGGCAACCCCTCCAATTGGGCGGTTGCTGTTCGACCTGGCTGCCGTATAAAACATCGGGTACCACCCGAGGCAGATACACACACACCCTAGGCTAGTTTGATTTCATGCGGGTCGTGCTGGGGGGCCTCCTGTAAAACAATTACCAACGCATCTTGAAACCTTCCCTTCTCTCAGCGCCTCCCGGCGCCGGGAGGCGCCCATGTATCGAGGAATGGGCCCCCTCCTTTCCCTATCCCCCCCCTTTCGTTCGGCCCGATCTCCCCCCCGCACTTCTCCTCGGTCTGTTGGCCTGTCCGCGTCTCTCGGCGCCTGGCGAGGAAGGACCCGCACCTCTCTATCGGGGGCGTCGGCGACTGCTGAGCTGTCTGGAAGGCCCGACTGCTGAGCTGCATGGGAGGCCGGGAGCAGTGACTGGCGCTGCCCCCCGCGCCGGGCTGGTGGCACCTGCCCGCACCCCCGAATGCGCAGGAGCTGGTCACGGCCGCGGACACCTGCTCCAGCACGGCCTCTGTTTCTATTCACGCGCTCGTGCTCGTAGGTCGCAGATCCCGTCGCCTGCCCGACCCCGAATGGAACGTTGCCCTCGCCGTAAGCCAGAACCACGCGCGCTTTTCGCGCGCCTGGGTTCTAGTCCAAGACAGCTGCCTCGCAGTTTTCGTGCTACCACAGGGAGCGCTGAATGAGGCACGCAGGGCTTTTCTGGCCACGGCGTGCCTCGGCTTCGAGAAGGTTCCCCGGCCCGGGGTCTGATGAACGGCCCGGAGACCAGGGCCCTTCCCGAGCCTGAAGTGGTCCATGTTTCAGCGCCTCGGAGGCATGCCGTCCTGCGCCTACGATCTACCATGCAGTCCCAGTCGCCTCCCTCCTCTTCCTCGCCCTCAGCTCCCCAGTCTTCCCCGTACTCACACTCATCTTCCTCATCGGTTTCTCCCCTTCTCCTCCTCTGATGCCAGGGGGGAAGTGCGGAGCGTGGACGGAAGGATGGAAACGATAGAAATATGAAACGGAGGGATGGAGGGAGGGGGGACGAGAGGAGGAATTGAAGAGAGGGACAAAAACGGACCCGGACCCCCGACGTCGTGATGTTTTCGCGACGTCGACCGCCAGAGGCACGGACCCGTTCCCCAGGACCGGCTTTTCATCCTGAATCGTTTTCGACGGTCCAAAAACAAGGTAAAGGCCCCCGGAGGCTGAAAATAACGAAAAACCTCCGTCGTGGTTCGTTCGCGACGCGAGGGGTCTGGGGACGCCCCCGCGTCCGCTTGCGCGTCAGAAGCCGCCAAGGCGGCGGCGCTTCTGGCGGGACGACGGGCCCCGGAGGATCTCAGAGGCCACCGCCTGGACGCCCTCCTGGGGGGTTTTGGCGGGCAGTTTTGTGGGCCTCCTGGGGCCCTCTTGGGCCGTCTTGGGGCCCTCTCGGGCCGTCCTGCGGCCATCTTGGGATCCGTGGGCAGTCTTCGGTCTCCACCTCCACCTCCCCCTCCTCCCTCCTCGAGCTCCTTTCCCTTCCCCGCACCCCTCCCTCCTTAGCCTCCCCCTCGTGCTCGTCGTCGTCCTTTCCGCTCGGCAGGCGGGCCTGGCCCCCGCACCCTCCCGGCCTGCACTCTGGACACTGCTGCCTGCTCTTCAGGAGCCACTGCTGGAAGCAGGCGGAGTGGTACACGTGCCCGCACCTCGACAGAGGGAGAGAGGGGGAGGGAGAGGGAGAGAACCCGAAAGAGGCACCCCGAACTCCGGGTCGAGAAGTTCGGTGACAAAGCTAACCAAGATAAGGATACGATACGGCTGCCTGGGCGTGTTCCTGCACGACCTCTGGTCCCAATCGAACGGAAACCAAGAGCATGCATGAGCGAACGTCGCCACTGGGTGAGGCGGAGTACGAAACCCACTCTTCGAAGTGACTTTCGACACAAACGACCAAAAAGGCATAGGAATAGACAGCTCGGAAAGAAACATCATTGTGGTAATGTCTATGTTGTCGAATTGTGGCGGTCGCGGATATTCTGGGCTCGACGCGAATGGCCAAAAAACATGGAGGAACAACAAGCTACTCAACCGATCGCAGGTCTGCGCGAGTTGATTGGACTGGCGCTGGGCCGTAACCCCAGGATGTCCCCACACCTCTGGCGGATTGGCATGTTCCAGCCCGTGGGTCCCATGAGCTCTCCCGACCTCCCCTCGTCGCGACAAAGCGGCGGTGGGAGGGTTTCGGCCGCTCGCGGCCTCCAGGAGCCCTCATGGGGCCCCGGGGGGCGATCAATAAAGACGACTCGGGATGCAAAACCGGCCATGGGGAAGCGACCGTGACCTCAGGGTGTCCAGATTATAAAAAATCAGGACGTCGAAGGTCTGGGCCACCCTCCCGAACCCCTGGGCCATTTTCTGAAATGTAACCCGCCCCCCCCCACCGGGGCTGGCCGAACTGAGAAAACACATATGCCAGGACTGAACAAACACCAGTCCGCCGCAGCTCTGGGTCAGAGAGGCCGCCACGGCCCTCCAGGCAGGCGTCTGCGATGGAGGGCCCGATGCTGCCTGAGACGGCCCCGTAGGCCGTCCAGATGCCTCCCAAATCCCCGTCCTGCTGCTGCTTGTAGTCGGCATTGACCTCCCCTTGCCACTCTGCTCCTCCTCCTCCTCCTGCTCCTCCTAACCTCCTCCTCGACTCGGTGCGGCCCTGGTTAACGCAAACAGGTGGACGCGCATACGGCGCAACACAGCACAGAGACAGAGGTCACCCGCCTCCGGCGCCACAAGGCACATTCCTCTCTCTCTCTCTTTCTCTCTCTCTCTCTCTCTCGAACAGTCTAAACATGAATCCCACAAAACACACGTGGCAGAAAGCGGAAGAGGAGGGGGAGAGCGAGAGCGCGGGCTACCCGCCTGGCGCCACCGCCGCGCCAGCGCGGCCCGCCTGGCCCTCGGCCCTGGCCCCGAGGTCCCCCTCTCTCTCTATCTCTCTCTCTCTCTCGTTATCCTGCTGCTGCTGCTCCTCTCCCCCTACCTCCTCCTCCTCCTCCTCCTCCTCCTCTTCTCCTGGAACCATCCTCCCCCAATTCGTTGTGCGTCTTCCTCGGGGCAGCAGACGCGGCCCCGCCGCCTCAGCACGCAGGCGGGCTGGCTCAGCAAGAAGTCGAGGCAGATGCTGCATCGGGACGCCTCCTGGGAGGACGAGGACGAGGAGGAGGATGGTCGATACGGGGGCTGCGGAGTGGATGGCGCAAGCATTGCACCAAGAAGAACAAGGAACAACAAGGGAGAAGGATGAGAAAGGGGAACTGGGAAAAACAGCGACAACGGAATAGTGAATAAGCGCAAGGGATGGAGAGAGTGACATCAGTACGAGGAGTGACAAAAGGAGGAGGAAAAACAAGGAGGCGCTCGGATCCACTCCGTCCTTCCAGTCCTCTCACGCACCCGCGCGCTCCCTGCCTCCTCCACGGACTTACGACGTCGTGTCGACTCCAGCGCGGGGAACCGCATGGCAAGCTGTCCGCAAGGCAAGGTGTTTCACCATGGATCTCGACGACCCCAGGCCCGAAACGGGCCTTCAGAGACCGCAGTGGAGGGGTAAACCGCGAGTGCTGACAAAACCACGACGGTTTGTTCTCCCCCCAAACAAGCAATACACAACCACGACGTGGGAGGTGGTGGAATATCCGCTTCCCTTCGCCTCTCCCCTCCCTCCCTGCCTGCCCCTCGTCCTCTCCTGGCCCCGGCCCTCCTCCTCCTCCTCCTCCTCGTTCCTCCTCCTCCTCCTCCTCTTCCTCCTCATCATTCCCTCCTTCTTTCCTCCTTCTGTCCTCGTTCTCTTCCTCCTTCTGTCGCCCCTCCTCCTCCACTCTTTTTCCATATGAATAACTCTTCCCTATCGCACCCCGTGACCATTCTGTAGGGCGGGCCGGGCGTTTCGCATGATACGTTCTCGCCGTGTAAGACCCTGAAGCTTAAAACTCGACAACCCTTTTACAGATGGAGGGCGGGTGGTTTTCAAAATGTGGCTCTCGCCTTAGCGCCGCGTGCAGTCGTTTCAGAAAGTTTGCAAGAGCTTCGCGGATTGAGGGCGACCAATTTTCAAAATGTGGCTCTCGCCTTAGGGCCGAGCACATTCAGATTTCCCAACCGTCCTGTGGTGTTGGGTCTTCGTTTTGAAGAGACAACGCCCCGCGTCTCACCTCACCTCACCTCCCGCGCTCCTCCCCCTGCTCCCTCCCACCTCCTCCGTGGCCCTACAGGGAGCTTCACCGAAGGCCCCAGTGGCAGGGTCCGCATGCAGTTCAACCTCCATTTCGGCGCACCCTCACACGTTTCGTGGCCCCATAGGGTGTTCCGCAGAACGTCCCAGTGGCAGGGTCCGCATGCAGATCCACCTCCATTTCGGCATACCTCTCTCACGTTTCGTGGCCCCATAGGGTGCTCCACCCAAGGCCCCAGTGGCAGGGTCCGCATGCAGTTCCGCCTTCATATCGGCGCACCCCTCACAATATTCATGGCCCCATAGGGTGCTCCACCCAAGGCCCCAGTGGCAGGGTCCGCATGCAGATCCACCTCCATTTCGGCATACCTCTCACACGTTTCGTGGCTCCATAGGGTGCTCCACCCACCGCCCCAGTGGCAAGGTCCGCATGCAGATCCACCCCCGCTTCGGCGCACCCCCCGCACGTTTCGTGGCCCCGTAGGGTGCTCCGCCGAAGGCCCCAATGACAAGGTCCGTATGCAGTTCCATCTCCATTTCGGCGCACCCCTCGAACGTTTCGTGGCTCCACAGGGAGCTCCACCGAAGGCCCCTGTGGCAGGGTTCGCATGCAGTTTCACCCCCGTGTCGGCGAACCCCTCACACGCTTCGTGGCCCCATATGGTGTTCCGTCCAAGGCCGCAGTGGCAAGGTCCGCATGCACTTCCACCCCCGGTTCGGCGCACCCCTCACACGTTTCGTGGCCCAATAAGATGCTCCGCAGAATGTCCCAGTTGCAGGGTCCGCATGCAATCCCCCCCCCCATTTCGGCGAACCCCTCGCGCGTTCCGCGGCCCCATAGGGTGCTCTACCGAAGGCCCCAGTGGCAGGGTCCGCATGCAGTTCCACCCCCCCATTTCGGCGACCCCCTCGCGCGTTCCGCGGCCCCATAGGGTGCTCCACCGAAGGCCCCAGTGGCAAGGTCCGCATGCAGTTCCACCTCATTTCGGCATACCTCTCACACGTTCCGCGGCCCCATAGGGTGCTCCACCGAAGGTCCGCATGCAGTTTCGCCCTTATTTCTGCGCACCCCTCACACGCTTCATGGCCCCATAAGGTGTTCCACCCATGGCCCCAGTGGCAGGTTCCAGACGCAATTCCGCCCTTCATTTCGGCGCACCCCTTGCATGTTTCGTTGCCCCCAAAGGCCCTAGTGGCAGCGTCCGCACGTGGTTCCACGTTGCATTTCGGCGCGCCCATCAAACGTTTCGTGGTCCCACATGGGGCTGCACCGACGAATCCGATGGCAACGCTCGCATAGCGTACCCGTACCAATGTTGGCACACCCGTCGCACGCGCCATGGCCCCAGAGAAAGGTTCACCGAGGACGATACCCACAACTGCGTTGCACACAGCTGCACATGGTTGGGTCTTTCGCCAAGGTAGTAAAACATGTGCAAGAGTTTCACGGGTTGAGGGCGGCCCGTGTTCAAACTGTGCCTCTCACTCTAGCGCCGCGCACACTTGCGCAAACCAATTACAACATTTCACAGGATTCCGATGATCATCGTACTAGAAGTTGCGATTGGAAGGGTCCAAGATTATGCTGGTGCAACAGTTATGATGGCTCGCGGTGCTGGAATCCCAAAAATGACGTTCTGGCGCGAATCAAGATCGCCAACACGCAGCAATCAGGTTGATCCGTGGCACTGAAATCCTGAGAACGATGTTTTGGCATGCTTCAGGGTCGTCAAACAGTTGTCTTCCAACGGGGCAATTCCCTCAATGGAAATGAGCCGCTGTAGGGACCGCTGCAGGGGGAGATTGGAGGGAGAGGAGGAGGAGGAGGAGGAGGAGGAGGAGGAGGAGGAGGAGGAGAGGAGGAGGAGGAGGAGGAGGAGGAGGAGGAGGGAGGAGGAGGAGGAGGAGGAGGAGGAGGAGGAGGAGGAGGAGGAGGAGGAGGAGGGGAGGAGGGAGGAGGGAGGAGGGAGGAGGAGGAGGGAGGAGGGAGGAGGGAGGAGGGAGGAGGGGGGAGGGGGGAGGGAGGAGGGGGGAGGGGGAAGGAGGAGGGAGGAGGGAGGAGGAGGGAGGGAGGAGGGAGGAGGGAGGAGGGAGGAGGGAGGAGGGAGGAGGAGGGAGGAGGAGGAGGGAGGAGAGGAGGAGGAGGAGGAGGAGGAGGAGGAGGAGGAGGAGGAGGAGGAGGAGGAGGAGGAGAGGAGGAGGAGGAGGAGGAGGAGACAAGACAAGACAAGACAAGACAAGACATCGCAATGGAGCTCTGAATCGATCATAAATCGCAAAATCGCTGAGCTCTGCGCGCTGCTTCAGCAGCTTGACCTCGCTCGAGAACGCAGGAGGCCTGTCGAGCGCCGCCCGCGCGGCCCCATACTGAGCGGCCCTCTTCAAGTCGGCGCGCAGCCTGGGAGGGGGATGCCCAGCTTCGGGGACCAACCTCAAACAACCGCACCCTCACGGACAAACCTGATGGGACGAGCGGGAGCCCTCTCGGCCCCTTGCTCGGAGAGAGGAGGAGGAGGTGCTAGGTTGTCCAGGGTGCGAATTATCACCTTTGGCCTTTCCTTTCCCCCCCCCCCCCCGACCCGTACGACGACTACGACCCCACCCCTTCCCTCTAGTCGGCTCAGCTCGGGGGTGAACCATTACAGGGACGAGGGGGAGGGCGGGGTTGCTGCAGGTGGTAACCTCAACCTCTTGCTGAAGCACCCCCCTCGAAACCTCGCCTCGCTGAATTAAGTTTTGCAACCGAGCAGAACCTGCTAGATTACGCTGCGCTGACTGAGACAGGCGGCGGCGGGCGACAGCCCCAGGCTCAGGTGTTGCTACTGAAGGTCCACTCCTCAACATACCCGAGCCAGAACTGGCCGCCGATGTCGACAAAGACTGCGGTGGCTCAAGAAGCTCGTCCGTGCCCAGCACCAACTCATGAACATCTTGGTGCGACCACGGCAAAACACTATTGTTACCAGCCACAGTGAGTAAGCGCCGAACCTTCTCCTCGAAAGTCACTTGATCTGAGCTCCGAGCCACCTCTCCGTCGGGCCGCGCGGCGCTGGGCCTGGAATCTGCTCCGTCCGCTCGACGTCGCGAAGGTAGTCCTGCATGATCGGCCACAACACCCTCGCCGCCTGACTGTCCTGCACATTCAAGTTGAGCGTCAGTACTCCCTTGCGGTCCATCTGAGCGTCCACTCCATCCTTGGCTGCACGTGCCTTCTTGTGCCTGCAATTGAGCACCAGGAGGCCGAGCTGCTGCGGCGTCTGCTTGTCCACGACCGACGTCCAGAACTCCGAGAACGCGTTGTGGCCCTGCTCGTTGGGATGGCTTCCTCCTTGTGCGCACTTTCCGATAGCCCGCCTGATTATGAGTACGAACAGCGCGACGTGTGGTGCGCCTCTTGCCTTCCAGTCGATCACCTCGCCGCTGTCCTGCTTTGCCTTGAGCTCCTTGCCCGCGGCGTCGTAGTTTTTGTTGCCCTCGACGCAGGCCTGGCCCAGAGAGCCCGCTCCTTCGTCCACGAAATAGTTCCGATAAGCGTTCGCCTCCAGCATCGCCGTGCGCCTCTCCAGTCCGACCGCGAGCCTCGCCATGCCCTGGGACATCTGCTCCATATGCGCCGTCGTGTCCTTCTTGGCTGCCTTGCGCTTGGGCTCCGCCGACCCTGGGGCACCTGCGCGCGCCGTCTGCGCCATCCAAGAGGGCATGGGCGGCAGCGACATCACAAGGTGGAAGTTGAGCACGGGGCTTAACAACTCGAGGTCTGAAAGGCTTGCCCCTTAATGGCAGATGCGACTGTAAATGTAGGCGAAGCATCTCGTAGCTGGCCCCATCGAACTCGCATATCGGGCACCTGTAACTGTCTGGCTCGATGAAGGGTGTGTTAGACGAGGCCCCGCGAGGATCACAACAGCCCCTTAGGAGAGCGCTCTGCAAGTGCCTGCCAGCTGTGACCTGAGTGGCGTACGTTCTGTTGCACACTATGCACGCGTTCGACGGAGTAAGTACGTGCGCAGTATTAAGTACGCGATGCCTATGCCGTAGGTGTTCTGTGAGTGCTCTCCTCGTCTCGAACCTGGCCCCGCATTCGACTCCCTCGTGTACGCGCGTGCAGACGAAGGGCTTCTCGACGGGCCCGTCCTCCTCGTCCTCCACCTCCTCGGCCTCCTCCTCGAGTCCTGGCGGAGCGATCTGGCACGAGAAAACCGATGCGCGATACTCAGAAAAGTCGAGGTTGACGAATTCGCGAATCATATCCTCATCGTCGAGTAGCTTCCAGGGAGAATGAGCCAGGGCAAGCAGCAGTTCCTCGTGATCATGAATAGCAGCAGCAGCAGCAGTCTGGAGGTCCGATCGCATCTGATAGAGCCAGGGGGACGCGTACTGGGAAAGGCCTAAGTCGACCGAGCAGGGGCCCCTATCTTCCGATTCGAAGTCGAGGAGCGAGAAGAGAACAGTCCAGATCTGCTTGTAAACCTGCGGACGAAGTGCCCACGCCTGATATCAGGCCAGTCGACGAGTGCGCAACTCCACAGAACAAGGAGCCACACGCCAGAAGGCAAGAACTTGTGAATTCGAAAGCCTCTGCTTATGTTGGGGCCCCTGCCACGTCGCCGAGCCGCCCGTCGTGATTCGCGCCCGGCTCCACAGGCACAGGCTCGGGAGGTCAGTGAGCGAACCTTTCGAGCGGCAGAAGATTACGCTGGCCTCGTCCCTTACTTCCGTAAGACTACTAAGCGACGAGCGGTACCTGTGGGAACTACACCTGCTGAGCTTTGGGATTTGTGCTTCTCGGCGGACAGAGCTACCAAAGGGGAGCACCTCGGGCTTGGCTGCGAGACGGGGGAGGTCAACATGGACGCCTTCAAGGAGATGGTCCTGCTTGGGCTTGCTACGATACGACGTACTGATCTTGCCCCACTGCACTGGTCCCGCAGCTTGGGTCACGGACTTTCGAAGGGCAACGCGAAGCCTGGAGCTCTGGGTAAGCGAGTTATCCACACGCTTCCTGCTGTTAGCAAGGGTTTTTTTGCCAAACGTCTCAATGTCCGGGCGCCACCGCAGGCCTACGGCTTCGCCAAGCATAAGCGACGCGAAGGAGCAATATTGGTTACTCAGTGCCTTTCTTGTAGATTGCGACAGTCGCATGTGAGCTTCGCCAGTACGATGAAATATTTATCCAATGCATTTGGCAGAGTATCCTGGGCAACTTTCGACTCGACGGTGGAGGACTGTGCTAAGCCAGAAGACTGGAACCTCTGCAAGCGACACTATCGAGATGGAGTTATCGAAATGCAGGGAGACGAGGGGGCCTTCTACATGAAGCCACACGTTGGCGGCTTGATGGGGGACCCGTTCATTGTCAGTGCATGCCTTGGCTCTTTTACGAGGCCCACGGAGTACTGGTCGGCGGCGATGAAGTCTAAATCGGGAACGCACCTACTTAGGAGGAGGAGGAGGAGGAGGAGTTTTAAACCCGCGTGTTCCCGCCCGCGAGTGGGCGCCCCTGGTCTCGTCACTCCGCGGAGGCCGAAAGGCCCGAGGCGGGGTGGGCCAGCGGCCACATCCCACGGCGTCTTACTGCCGCCACTCTGTGACTCATGGAGTCGCCCCGTGAGCAGCGGCAGTCTGAAGAAATGCTGCCGCTGCCCACTCAGAGCTTGAGGAGCAGCCTGATGGACGGCCGCAGCCGCTCCTCCGCTCTGCGCTCTTCCAGGGACCGCCCTGGCTGCTGGTCCCTGGACTCATGGGCCTTCTCGATCGCCCTGCCTGGCGCAGAGCTGTGGCGTAACCCCTCGCCACGCTGGGGCGCGTTGCGGCCTAACCCCTCGCCGCGCAGGGGTCCTCCGTGGCCTGACCCCTCGCCGCGCTGGGGGTCGGCGCGGTCTAACCCCTCACCGCGCCGGGGATACTCGTGGCCTAACCCCTCGCCACGCTGGGGGCTGCTGCGGTCTAACCCCTCACCGCGCTGGGGCGCTCCGTGGCCTAACCCCTCGCCACGCAGGGGCCTGTTGCGGTCTAACCCCTCACCGCGCTGGGGTGCTCCGTGGTGGCCTAACCCCTCGCCACGCTGGGGTCTGTTGCGGTCTAACCCCTCACCGCGCTGGGGCCCATCGTGGCTTGACCCCTCGCCACACTGGGGGTCAATGCGGTCTAACCCCTCACCGCGCTGGGGAATGTCGTGGCCTAACCCCTCGCCACGCTGGGGGCTGCTGCGGTCTAACCCCTCACCGCGCTGGGGCGCTTCGTGGCCTGACCCCTCGCCACGCAGGGGCCTGTTGCGGTCTGACCCCTCACCGCGCTGGGGTCCATTGTGGCCTAAACCCTCGCCACGCGGGGGCCTGCTGCTGTCTGTCCCCTCTCCACTGTGGGGTCCTCCGTGGCCTAACCCCTCGCCACGCTGGAGATCGTTGCGGTCTAACCCCTCACCGCGCTGGGGTACTCCGTGGCCTAACCCCTCGCCACGCTGGGGCCTGCTGCGGTCTAACCCCTCACCGCGCGGGGGTACGCCGCGTCTTGCACTGTCCCCATCCTCGGTGCTGCTGCCCCCTGGCTCGGGCGGGGCCCCGCGACTTTGCCGCTCGCTGTGTTCGCGGTTCACGTGGCATCCGCGGGCCGTGCCCTCCCCCTCGCGTTCAGACTGTCGGTTTCCCAGGGTTTGGGTCCGCTCTGTTAGTTGCGAGGTCCTGTCTACCACACTGTTGGTCAAAAGGTCCGCGTTTTGCTCATTGGGCACGTCATAGGCTTCCGCCTCAAGCCTCTGCTTGCCTTTGGTCCTGCGGCCTGCCCCCTCTTCGCGCAAGGGATTTCCGTGGCCTAACCCCTCGCCGCGCAGGGGTGCCTTGCGGTCTACCCCCTCACCGCGCTGGGGTGGGTCGCCGACGATCTTATTCAAGTCCCGCTGCAGGTCTGTATCGTCGTAGTCTGCCGCCTTCTCAGGCTGCGCTGTTTTGCGGCCTAACCCCTCGCCACGCGGGGGAGCGCCGAGTCTCGTACTGTCCCCTTCCTCGGTGCTGCTGCACACTGGCTCAGGCGAGGTCCCCCGACTATGCCTCTCGCTGTGTTCGCGGTTCACGTGGTATCCGCGGGCCAAGCCCTCCCCCTCGCGTTCAGTCTGTCGGTTTCCCAGGGTATGGGTCCGCTCTGTTAGTTGCGAGGTCCTGTCTACCACACTGTTGGTCAAGACGTCCGCGTCATGCTCACTGGGCTCGTCAGGGACCTCCGCCTCGATCCTCTGCTTGTCTTTGGATCTGCGGTCTAACCCCTCACCGCGCTGGGGTCCTCCGTGGCCTAACCCCTCGCCACGCTGGGGTCCTCTGCGGTCTGCCAGGTGGTACCCTATGCTGTGCTGTGCATCTGGGAACTGCTGGTGGTTGTCATCGCTGCACTGCTTGTCTACGTCCTGCTGGGGGCTGTCCTCTCTGTTCTCCTCTTCAGGGAAGTGGTCGAGGTCTGCCATGTCCTTGGTGCTGCGTCCTGCTGGTGGGGGACGGGCACCCCTCTGCATCCCGTCTGGCGCAGGGCTGTGGCCTAACCCCTCGCCACGCTGGGGTCCTCCTCGGCCTAACCCCTCGCCGCGCAGGGGTCCTTGGTGGCCTGTCCCCTCTCCGCACAGGGGCCTCCTCGGCTGTGTGGCTGGAGCCCTGCTTGGTACTCGCCCTGCTGCTTGTGGTCGCGGGCTGCGGCTCCTCACTTCTGGCTCAGTCACGCCCAGGATCTGCTCAGCCGTTGCTCTGCGCCGCTCTGCCTCCTTCGGGTCCTGCTGCTGGATCTGTCTGCGCTCCTCTCCGCTGTTGAGCCATGCCAGGCGGCAGATCTCCTCCGCCGCTCGGCGCTGGCTGCGCTGGCGGCTCGTCCCTGACACGTGGCTGAAAAGCCTCTGATAGACGCCAGTCTGCAGCGCCCTCATCACATGGGGCACGCACGCGGCCTGCCACGATGGCCAGCCCAGCTCGCCCTCTTTCTGGCTCCAACAGCCTGCCAGCGACTGCATGAGCTGCTCGAGCCTGTTCCTCTCGAGCCACGCCACCTCCTGCTCGGGGTCCTGGTCGGCTTCTCCTTTGTTGTGTCGAAGCCTTGGGTGGAGCAAGCCGGCCTCGTCAGCTTCGCTCACGAACTTCATCAGGTCGGGCCCCACTGGCTTGGTCAGCGTTACTGCCACCTGCACTGCCGTCTGCATCAGGCTGTTGGCGTCGTGCCTCTGATCAGGTCCCGCCATGGTCTCCATCTCCTGGCTGCTCGGCTCGCCCTCCAGCTCTGGGGCTTCACTGTCTGGGGTCGAGTCATCATCGCCCAGGTTCTCTGGTGACCACTCTCGGCTGGCCTCCGCTGTTCTCGGCAGCGGCCTGCGCTCACTGCTGGGGATGCTGCGCGCTATGATGTTGTTCCTTCTGTTGTGGAAGGCGTCCATGTGTACTCTAGCTGCCTGCTGCCATGTGCCATGCGGGAGGGTAAGCATCCTGGTCATGAGCCTCCGTCGCGTGCGGTGCGTGTTGCGCCAGACTTCTTCGCAGAAGTCCTTTATCTGCTGGATCTCCTGCACGGTGACGGCCCTGGGCTGCTCTTGCGTGTCCGTTCTGCCACCCACATTGGTGATGGCCAAGAGGTACGGTACGCAGTGCTCCATCCAGTCGTCCATGTCGTCCCAGACCTCTTGGTCGACCATGTTCATCCACAGCTCTGCGTAGCCCTCCATGTGGTCGACGAGCCTCAAGCTGGCGTGGACGACAGAGTACGGATGGCTGGGTGGCTGCTGCGGAGCTGGCTGCGGGTCCCCTGCCTCTGAGCTGTCCCCGTCCAGATCGATCACCTCGTGGTTGCTCAGGCCGAGCTTGAAGCCACCTGGCATGGTGATCTCGTCGAGACCCTCATCAGCTGGGTCTGCTGCTGGCTTAGCTCCTCTAGGCAGCTTGCCCCTCTGCGTGTCCTCCAAGACTCGCCGCCCTGCTGCTGTTGGGGGCTGACATGGCCTTGCCAGCTTCCTTGCCACTCCTGCCACGATCCTGCTCTTGTGGTCCCCAAGGTAGCTGGTGCCGCCACATTTCTCGCACCAGAGCCAGCCATGGGTGTACTGCGTCTTGTGGGAGCCGTGCACCACCTGCGTGCCGATCTGCACCGCCTTGAAGTCGAGCCTGACGTTGCCGTGCTGGTCCTGGTGGCCGCCGTACTTCCCGAGGCATTTTCCCGTCTCTGCCAACCAGTCTCTGATGCGTTGTCCTTTGGCTGGGCCACTGCGGCACGTTGCGCACCACCATCGCGGATGTAGTTTTCGCAGGTCGTGTCCCTGCTGGGCTGCCCTGTCCCTCGCCGTCTGCGGCTTTCGCCGCTTGGCCTTGGGGCGCTGAGGGGCCTTGTTGGGGTCCCCCACCATCACCGCCATGTTGATGGCCAGCAGCCTGTTCTGCACCGCCATGGTGATCTGGTCTCTGATCTGCTGCTGCACGATGATAGCTGGATCCTGTGCTCCGTGCTCCGCCCCCCAGCCTGCGTACTTATCTGCCATCTCGTTACCTATGACCCACCAGGTGGGACCACTCCACCTCTCCAGCTCTGTTGGGTGCTCAATAAGGTGGCTCGGGATGTGGTGGCCCGTGATGGTGTCCGTGCTGTTCTGTAGCTGCTGCTTCGTCTGGAGCCAGAGGTCGTAGTTCGTGCTCCTGTAGTCCAGATCCTCAGGGTCCTGGATCTGCTTGAGTGCGTCCAGGGCGTATTTGCAATCGCTGACTATGTTTAGCCCCCTGGCTGTCGCCGCCGTGGTGTACCCGATGGCTTTGCTCATGGCGGTGAGCCCTGCCCGTGGCACCGTGTGCGGTGCCCTGATTGTGCCGTACCAGGCAGCCACTTCCTGCGGACGACCTTGTTCGTCGAACCTGAATGCCACCACTGCCCAGCCGCAGCGTCTGAGGCGGGGGTCCCTGGCCGTTTCCCCTGCACCACCTGAGCCGTCCGTAAAAACATAGTCTGCTCGCACCTTGTGCCCTGACTGGGCTGCAGCTTGTGCCTCTTCACTGGTGCAGAAGATCTGCGCCGCCTTCGCCGCGTCCTCGTCTGGGTCGACCTTGGCTGCCCAGGCCGCTGGCGGGATGCCTCGGAGCCAGAAATGCAGGTCCTGCCGCTGGTCCAGCGCGTCCTTTGCCTTCTTCGCCAGGTCGGTGCCATTGCTGTGCCCTATTTCTGCGTTGGCAGGGCAGGCGTAGTAGCGGTGTTCCTCTGTCTCTATCGCCTCGCCGCATCTCGCGCAGGTGTCATCGCCTTCTTGGTTGAGGTTGGCCGCCCTGCGACGCTCCCTGGTCCAGATGCCTGCCACCGCTATGGTCTCCAGCATTGATGCCTCTGCATGCTGTCCTTTACGCCTCCTTCTTCTCAGGTGGCGCTGCAGCTGGTAGAGGTCGCCTCCAGCCTGAAGTCCTTCTCCACTGCGATGGCCAGCTGCCTGCTGCCAGAGCTGCTGCTGCGCGCTCTGCTGGACCTCATGCAGGAGCGCGCCGAAGTGGGGAATGTCATCTGGCTTGTAGGCCCACTCGTCACGTGCTGGGCTGATCCAGCTGTCCAGGCGTCGCGGTATCCAGCCTAACCCAAGCAACTGCAATGACCCCTGCCATGGGCCCCTTGACCTGCTGCCACCTGCGGTTGGGTTCCAGGGCGCCCAGCTTGGCGTAGAGCAGGAGCCAGCCCCTCTGGTACCTCTTGAGCTCCGTCGGGTGGTCGACTACGGTGAGCCAGAACTGCTTGATCTGGTCGCCGATGGCTCGGGTTACTGCCTCTTGCATACCCCTCTGGATCAGGAGGATGGTGGACGTGCAGCGTCCAGCCTTGCGTCCGCCTGTGAGGAGCGCTGCCTCCGTTGCCCTGACCAACTTCGCCTCCGTGGGCGTGATGCCGTGCGCTGGTAAGTCCCAAGCCTGCTGGCAGTAGGCACCTGCTGCATAGACCTTTGCCGCGCCTCTGGCGTCCGTCTTCGCCAGGTCCCTGAGCTTGGCCACCCTCTGCTTGGCCTTGGCCTGGCGCGCGGCATGGGTGGGTCGCCGCAGCTGCTTCCCAAGGCTGGCGTCCACGCCGAGGTCGCGCACTACCCCTGGTTGCTTGTTGGGGGTGCCAAGGCTGTCCAGGATGCTGGCGACTTCTGCCTGGAGGTCCTTGTCCGAGGCCACCGCTGCCGTCTTGACTGAGATGGGGATCGCGAGCTGCTTGAAACCATCGTGCACCAGCGCCGCCACGTGCTTGATCTGGTCAATGACCTGCCGCCGCGCGCCCTCTACCTGCAGGGCCAAGTCGTCCAGGTACTGCTGCATGACGACGAAGATATGGTGCCTGTGCGCTGCATCCAGGATTCCATACAAGAGCGGTCTGGTGAGGTCTACCGCTTGGCCACAGCCTGCTACCCTGCTGTTGGCAGGCTCAAAGATGTCCGAGAAGAGGCTGCGGGCCATGATGGCCCTGGGCGCAAGGTACATCTGCACGGCCATTGCCAGCGGCAGCAACGGGTACTGGAGGGCACTGGCCTTCTCGATCAGCTGGTCGAGGCCTATGTTGTCGTAGAAGTTTGCCGCGTCGTAGAACACTCCTGCTGCATGAAAGCCCATCTCCGTGGCGGCTTCTGCCCTCATAAGTCTGTGCATTGCCACTCGTAGCGCTGAGGAGCCAGCTACTGCCGTATCCCAGAAGCCCGCCGCTGCCTTGCTCCAGGTGGCTACTATGGGCCTCCTGGCTGCGCTCCAGATGCGGTACGGCATGGGCATGAGGCCGATGGGGCGCTCTCCCCCGATTCCTGGCTTCTTACCCAGCAGCAGCTCCAGCACCAGGTAGAATTGCCACGGCCAGGCTGCCCGTTGCTCACAGCTGGTCAGGCACTGCACGAAATCTTCCAGCCCCTGGGCTCCCATGGCCTTGAGCTCTGGAGCCCTCCACCAGTCCGCTCCTTGGCCTGCATTGCTCTTCAGGTGCTGGATGATGGAGCCTATGATGTCCTTGCTGATGGGCTCGAGGGCATTCTCTTGGGCCAGGGCAGCCTGCCTCAGCTTGGCCAGCGCCTCTTGGATCCTCTCGGCCTTCTGCGCATCTCGTGTCCACCTGCGTTGCCATGCTTCTTTGCGCAAGTCCACCAGCTGCTGCGGGTGGTTGATGACCTGGCCCTCGTGCTCTAGGATGTCCTCCAGATGGCTGCGCTCCGCTGCTTTGGTGTAGGCGTGGGCCATCTTCGCACTGCCAGCCGTGGCGTCATGCACCCAGTGGATGTACGCCTTCTGCACCGCCTTTGTGAGTAGCTTGGCCATGCTCTTTACCTCCTCTGCTACCCTGCTGATCGTCCCTGGGTCCACGAGGGCGCCCTCTGCTATGGCGTGCAGGTCTGCGAGGAGGGCCTGCTGCTGGTCCTTGGCTGCACCTTCATCGTTCAGCCTGGCTGGGTCAGGCTGGTTGAGCTGCTGCGCAAGCTGCTGTCTTGTGTTGATCTGCTGCTGCGTCTGGCGGCCACTGTGGGTGCGGACCTGCTGCTCTCGGCGGCTACTCTGGCCACTGCCTGTACCTGGAGCATCATGTAGTTGTCTTCGCGCTGCTCCTTCTGGTGCTCTTTCGCCTATGACTTCTCGCATGAACCTCCGCAGGTTTGCGAGCTCCCTCCAGTGCATCATTTCCAATTCGTGCCTCCTCGTCGGCACCTCTCGCGCAAGTCCTTGGAGAAAGCCTCGGCGTCGTGGTTCTGCATGTCTCCATGCTCGCTCGCAGAGGTCCCTGATGATGTGGCTGAGGCCGGCCTGCTGGTACCAGCGTCTGAGCAGTCTCACCATGACATTGTTGCCTCCGCCTCCCAAGATGGTCTCCAGGAACGGCACACAGATCTGCATCCAGTTGCTGTTGTCCGTGGGGAGCTGCACCAAGTTATCCATCCAGATGGCCGCCCAGTACTCCAGGTCGTCTCTCATGGCCACGTAGTCTTCCCGCTCCCGCTGGTGTTGGTCGTCATTCCAGGGGTCTGTGGGGGGCAGGCCCATATCTCGTTGCTCATCTGCCTCTGGGCTTGGCGGCGCTTGGTTCTGACTCCTCAAGTGATCGGTACCCTCTGCCTCCAGAGTGCCAGCTGGCTGAGGAGGTGAGCAGTGCGTGTCACCTGGGGCGGTTTCACCAGATCCAGCTGCCTGACGACGTGCGGTCTGGCCGTAGCCGTTGCCATCCAGCTGCCCCTCGATACGCTGGTGGTACCCATCGCAGTCCTCCTGGTCTGCGGTCTCCTGGCGGTTCTGGAAGCGGTCCTCCTCTTCCTCGAGGGGGTCGTGGTCTTGGACGTCCATGGTGCTGCGTCCTGCTGGTGGGTGAGAATCAGGTCCAGCTGCTCGACGGCGAGCGGTCTGGCTGGTCTCGAGGCTGGCCTGCTGCCCCTCGATGTGTTGGTGGTACCCATCGCTGTTTTCCTGGTCTGCGATCTCCTGGCGGTACTCCAAGTACTCCTCCTCATCCTCGAAGGGGTCGTGATCTTGGATGTCCATGGTGTTGCGCCCTGCTGGTGGGGGAAGGGCACCCCTCTGCATCCCTTCTGGGCAGCTGTCTGCGGTGCTGTGGGTATGCCCCACGTGGAGGTCTGGGACGCCTCCTGCTGCGCCTCCACTGCCTGCGCTCCGCTGCTGCAGCTCGGGGGGGCCCTTGCCCCGCTCGGTGGGGGAGCGTTCCACCGAGCTTCCTCCCGAGCTCTTCGATAGGCTCAAGGCTGGTGCAGGGTCGCCTTCTTCGTGGCCTTCCTGGCTGCCCGAAATGACGGGGCCAACCTCCAGCTCCAACGGGCCCTGTCCTCCTCCCGAGTCCTCATCGGGACGTGCTTGGGTCTTGCCCTGTCGACTTGCCGCTGCCTCCTGCGCTCGGGCGTCGCGGTGCGAGAGCTGCCGCACCAAGGAGGAGATCTCCGCCCACCACGCATGGATCTTCCTTTCAACCCCTGCCCATGGCGTAGAGGTGACGGTGTCCTCGATGCTCGCGCTCTTGTAGCTCGGGGGGCCTGCTGTGCCCGAGATGACGTCCTCGATCTTCCTCTGGGATGCCGATGCTCTCGCACAGGCTGAGCTCGAGTGTGCTAGCGAAGTGGTCGTACTGTTGCCCCAGATCCAGCATGTCCCGCTCCATCATATTGCCGACGACAGTGCGCTGCAAGTGCTGGGGCAACTCGTCGTAGACACGCAAGCTGACCCTCTCGGAGGTGGCCTGCCACAGCTCGTCAGGGATGACGTGCTGGACCTCCTTGTCGTAGTACAGCTGCGGCACTGGCTCCATGTGGTTTCCTTCCTGGTCGCATCCTGCCTCTGCCAACGCTTGCTGACGTCGGCGCATGGCCTCCTGGCCTCCTCGCGCCGCTCGCCTGCAAGCGGCTCTGGACTTCGGCATTCTCTCAACTGCGACTGGTGGCTTTATGGCTGCTGGCCTGCGAAGTACCCTGCCCTTGAGCTTTAGAGGCCGCCCTCTCAGCTTCAAGCGGATGCCAATGTGCGGCTTCCACGGCACGGTCCTGAGCAGCTCTAGCTGGTCAAAATACGGCGCCAGGCCCTGCGAGATCAGCGCGAAATCGATGCACCTGGCTTCGCCTCCTGCTGGGAAGCACGTGGGGGCGCCATCCTCCGCCGCTGCTACTTGAGCATTCAGCACCCTGGGCCAGATGCTGTTGTTGAACTCCGACGGCGTCATGTTGAAATCCCCAAGCGCTGCCCATGGCCCTCCCCAGACGGCCATATTTTCCCGCAGGTCGCAGAGGATGCCGACGTTCCTCTCTCCGAAGCCCGCCCCGCACTCGAGGTAGACGAAGGCCACTGCGAAGCGGACCTTGTGCAGGTTGGAGATCACCACCGTGACGTCGCTGCCGTCCTCGCGCAGGTAGTGCTCGTCGAAGCCCGCGATCCTGTCCTGGACGTCCAAGGATCCTCGCGTTATGGCACACGTTCCTCCACGAGTGCCTTCTCCTTCTCCTGGCCGTGCCTTGGTCCAGTAGCTGTGCATGCCATTCCTCCTGAGCGCCGCTCTTGCCTTGCCTATCTGCGCAGGCTGGCGGAGGTGGTGCTCCGCGATGCCGATGATGTCCCTGTCCTTGGTGTCGTTGATCTCCATGAGGTGGCCCTGTGCCTGGGGGCCCCAGGTCGTGACATTGAGGAAGTCGATGCGGCAGGGGCGGCGAGCCTTCTTCGCGCTCGCCTTGGGGCGGCTACCCTGCTGAGTGGTCACCTTGCCCTTCTGCGTCGACGACTGTCTCGGCGCGCCTGGCCTGCGAGACCTTCTCTCGCGCCTCCTGGATGTGGGCCTCCACTCTTGCTCGGCGTTCCTCTGCTTTGTCATGTTCTGTTGCACCTGCTT